AAAGCTTTATGTAAACAGAATCTCATAATTATTCTATGTGTATTGCATACATTATGTATATTGCATACAATAATCTAATGATACTGGCTTATATCCACTCAACATTTTCTTTAGAGATCCACTCAAGTTGCAGCTTGTATCAGTAGTTCTCTTTTGAGTGTGTAGTGTTGCATCATAGGAATGTACAGAATTTGTTTACTTGCTTATTGAAATATATTGAGGTTGTTGCTAGTTGGGGACTATTACAAATAAAGCTGCTGTGGACATTCCTGTATTGTTTTCTTGGTAGAAACACGTTTTCCTTTCTCTAGGATAAATCCAAAGAGTGCACAAGCTGAGTTGCATATATTTGTAATTTTATAAAAAACGTCTCAACTATTTTTCCAGAGCGGCTCTACCGTTTTAAATTCTTACCTGCAACATATGAGATTCTTTTATCCTACAACCTTGCTAAATAAATTCAGTTGTTTGGCCCTGGAAGGTGTCCCAGTGGTTAGAGCATTAGCCCTTGCTCCGGGTCGAGGGTTCGATTTCCAGGCAAGGCATGTACCTGGGTTGCAGGGCCCATCACTGGCCCTGATCTGAGTACCTGTGGGAAACAACCAATCAATGTGTGTGTCTCACATCTATGTTTCTGTCTCCCCCTCTATTTTTAGCACAAAAATTGGAAAACAAGCAAAGGAAACGTTTTCCATTTTAATGAAGCTCCGTTTATCAGTTTTTTCTTTCATGGGTTGTGCTTTGGTGTCATGTCTTAGAACTTCACCTAAGTCTAGGTTTTCTTTTGTATTTTCTTATATATACATTTTACATTGAGTTTTGCACCATGTTGAGTTCATTTTTGTATATGGTCTGAGGTTTATAGGCCGATGTTGAATTGTTTGCCTATGGAAGCCCATTTGGTTTCAGTTTGAACTTAAGAGGTATCATTTTGTGTTGTTTTTTATATCCTGAATTTTCAGCAATCTACATATATATAAAGCTTAAGCAAATGACTGTTTGACCAGTTGCTATGACACATACCAACCACCAGAGGGCAGACGCTCAACGCAGGAGTTGCCCCCTGGTGGTCAGTACACTCCCACAATGGGAGCACCACTCAGCTGACTGACGGGTGCCAGATGCCAGGCTCACAGCTGGTGAGCGCAGCTGCGATGGCACAAGCCTCCTGCCTCTGTGGCAGCACTATTGAGTGGCGGGGGCAGCAGACACAGTGGGGCCGGGATGAGCGGGAGCAGTGTGGCGCCCAGCCCGGGCTCAGGGCTCTTCCCTAGCCATCTGCTGCTTCGCACACTACATCCCTCAGTTGATGTCAGACTGCCAGTCAGACTGCAGGCTGGCCTGCAGGGATTGGTCCAAAACCAGCAATCTAACATCCCCTGAGGGGTCCTGGATTGGAAGAGGGTGCAGGCCAGGCTAAGGGACCCTACTAGTGCACGAATCTGTGCACTGGGCCTCTAGTAGTAATATAAGTAAGTAAATCTTTGCAGCTATAACATAAAATATTTTACTTAAAAATAATGTTTAAGAGAGAAACCCAGATGGCGGCATAGGTAAACACCGTAGTTTGCTGCCTTGAACAACCACTTCAAAAATACAACTAAAAGATGGAACGGGCAGCATCCAGAACCACAGGAAGGCTGGCTGAGTGGAAATTCTACAACTATGAGGAAAGAGAAAAGCATACTGAGACTCAGAGGAGGTGCAGTGCGGAAGTTGTTGTTTTCAATCGGGAGGGAGTCTCAGGCTCTGAGCTCCAGTTCTGGGCGAGTCTCTAGGAACCCAGACTAATACGGGAGAAGCGGGACTGTCTGGCATCGGTTGGAACTCGAGGGCAGCTTTCTCTCCAAGGGGCTTGCAGCTATTACCAGGACACTGAGAAGAAGAGCCTCTGAGGGCTGGACTGAGCCCAGCCATAACTGCTAGTCCCACCCTGTTGATCCCGTGGGACCTGCCCCGCCCAAGCCCTGCAGGGAGGCTTTTGCTGGATAGCCTAAGGCGGAGGCTAGATTAGCACCTCCCTAGAGATCCAGGAGCCAGGAAACCCAGAGGTCAGAGTGGGACCATCCAGTTTGCAGCTCCGTGGAACCAAAAAAGGACACACTCAGGGGGCAGACTCAGTGAGCACCAAAGCCCTATTGAAGCAAGTCTTGCCCCAGAGGGGTGTCTCCAGCACAGAAGTTCTCCCACTGCAGACACAGCTGATTCTCACAGCCAATTGGCCTGGAGGTCAATTTCTCCCAGTGATAACCACAACAATCAAGGCTTAACTTCAACAAGACTGTGCACAAAGACCAGAAGGGGGTGCACCTCAGGTAATTGGGGAGGCTGATTCAGTGGTCCCTAGAGGACACTCAGCACAGAAAACCACTTTATCAACACAGGGAAGCATAAAAAATGCGGAGACAAAGAAAAAGGACACAAATG